CTGTGCAATCTGCGCAACACCCACGCCCACACCCCAAAGACGCTCACCCCAGACCACCTGTTTGTCGGTGTTGGCAGTGACGAGGCCATTGATGCTCTGCTAAGATGTTTCTGCGTCCCTGGCAAGGACCGCATCCTCACCTGTCCCCCAACATACGGCATGTACGCGGTATCTGCCCAGGTCAACGATGTCTCCCTGGTCAAGGTGCCTCTACTCCCGGCCCCAGACTTCGCCCTTGATGTCCCTGCCATTCTGGACACTCTCTCCAACGAGCCCAATATCAAGCTCGCCTACCTATGCTCCCCCGGAAACCCCACGGGGTCTCTCCTCGCCAAGTCGGACATCCAGCAGATCCTCTCCCACCCCACGTGGAACGGCATCGTCGTCGTAGACGAGGCATACATCGACTTCGCCCCCGAGGACGCCTCCCTCGCCGAATGGGTCACCGAGTTCCCCAACCTGGTCGTCATGCAGACCCTGTCCAAGGCCTTTGGTATGGCCGGAATCCGCCTCGGCGTCGCCTTCACCGCGCCGCCCATCGCCCAGCTCCTCAACAACCTCAAGGCCCCTTACAACATCTCCAACCCGACCAGCACCCTGGCCTCGTACGCCCTTGGGGAGCAGGGGCTCTCTGTCATGCGTGGGAACCGCGCCAAGCTGGTCGAGCAGCGGGAGCGTCTCCTGCAGGAACTGCCCAAGGTCAGTGGCGTGGGCAGGCTGAGGGGCGGCACGTCGAGCAACTTTTTGCTGTATGAGATGCTGGATGCGCAGGGTAACCCCGACAACACGACTGCTCTCGCCGTGTATGAGAAGCTGGCGGAGACCCAGGGCGTGGTCGTCCGGTTCCGAGGAAAGGAGCACGGATGTTTGGGCTGCTTGCGCATCACTGTTGGTAGCGAGCCAGAGGTGACGAGATTCCTCGCGTCGATAACCAAGATATTGGCTGAGGTTCGGGGGACGTTGAATTGATTGGTTTGGCGCCAGGCTGTGTAGAAAGACAACGGATTAAGAGAAAACAAAAACGAAGCCTGTCGAGTTCGTGAAGTACTAGAGCAACGGGAGCGAAACTAGACCATGTTGGATAACATGTAGGAATCCGAAATTCTTTAGAGAGACAATGCTATCTTCGATAAAAGTCTTAATAAATCATCAGCTTTGCATGTTGTCCTCCAGCCTTATAGTGTTTATTGCATAGACAGGTTTGGTTCTAGAACGGCAATCTTTCGGCCAACCAGATATGGTTTTTTTGAAGAGTTAGATAAGAAAGCGAGTAAATCCGATGAGTTGATTCAATAGTACTTAATTTTCAATGTGGATATCTCGCAAACATTCATTGACCATCAAACAAACTTCTGTGGTGTCTTTAGTATTGGGAGCCCAAGGGTGACAATGAATTGAGGACACTCAAACATTGTGTTACCTATTCTCAAGCGTCCAACCGGTATTTCTAAATTATTGAGGGCTAATAATCAGTACATAGGATACAATGAACTAGAGCTATCCATTTCTATTGTTTTATCTAGCTATATAAATCCGTCCATCGTAGAAAATGGCCTGTTCATTATCACCCTTGAAGTTGATGCTTCGTTTTTTCTATCACCTAATTGGGAGCTCACAGGGCGTGCTCGCTAAAATGTTATGGCCGGGGTCTTGGTTACAGGGCCGGACAATATCCACGGGTAATCAGGCAGTCTTGCATGAATTCAGGAAGCTTGCATTGTCTCATGCAATTCGACTGCGCGTATCGTTACAGAAACACGCAATGGGATAAAAGATCCGACGTCGTGTCACTGTATGTAGGCAGCGTCCCGGATGCACGCGCCTGTGTCTATCGGCGATCACCCCGGGGCCTGTTTCTGGATTAGGAGATGCGCGCTCTTTGATCTACCAACCCCCCCTCACGATTAAGTAGTGTCGCTCTTGATCCTACATCGACGATTATCAGAATTAATCGGCCCTCAAACCAGTCCTAAAGCTTTTGTGTGTGACACGCGCCCGAAGGCCTAATTTAGCCATGTCTGCACAGGATCAGAGGGGACCGCCAATGTTTCGCGATGAGGCGGCTGCCAGTGAGACCGACTCACTCCTGGAGCGCGGCCAACGCAAGGCGAAGCGGCTCTTCGATGGGTTTGTTGATTTTGCCTTTTCGGGAAATATCCTTCAAATTGCATTTGGATTGATGTAAGCTTTGTCGGAGGGAGATCAAAGTCTCTTGCCCTATTTTGAAACCTTTGGGTGGCTGACACTGAGGGGGCCATCTCTAGCATCGCATCCATTTTCACGGACCTAGTCAAGTCATTTGTTGGAGACATCCTCATGCCGCCGCTCTCTGTGATCCTTCCCTTGAAAAAGAACATCGAAGAGAAGTTTGCGATCCTGCGGGTCGGGGACACTTACAACAAGACCGTGGGCTACAACACCCTCAAGCAGGCTCAGAATGATGGTGCCGTTGTGATGGCGTATGGGTAAGAGCGCGCACCCTCCTCCCGTCCTTCTCTGCGCCGCTGACATCAGGGACGCAGCCTGTTCATTTATCAAGTCGTATCGTTCTTTATGATTGGACTGGCGCTCTATGCTCTGGCTCTTCTTTATACGGCCTTCTCATCTGATCCGATCATCAAGCACACCAAGAAGTGCAAATATTGCAGGCAACGTATCAACGAGAAGGTGAGTGAAATCGACAAGTTCGGCTCTATTCATGGACCGCATGAGATACTTGCTAACACTGGCGGTCTTCTAAGTCTATGCGGTGCATTCATTGCACCAGCTGGTTGGATGGTCGCGAAGAACGTGTCCGGTTCTAAACCGTGGCGGGTTGATGGACCACTGGTTGCGAGGCATCTTATGGAAGGCGTCTACCACTATTGACTATTTTGCATGACTCTCTGTTGTTTGGTCTAGTTGGCGAGGTTGTTTGCTTTTCAGAGGTTGCATTGTTTACGCATGTTGGAAGCTGAGATTATAGCGAGCGGGTGTTTCCTCACTACAAACCCACGTTGGGGGATCGTTTCATCATCGCATCTCAGGGAAGATTTAAGCCTCTAGATATATTTAAAGCGCATATGAAACTTGAGAAAGATATCGGAGAAGAAACTTAAGTTTCTGGAGGAGTGACATCGAGGTGGTTCTGGTTCCCGGGGCACTTCATCTACCGAAGGGTAACATCTACCATTTCGGGCACATTGGCTGATGAGGCGACAATGTCATTGGAGCACCTGGTCAAAGACCCTGTCACCTGATGGGCATGTATGCCGTTGATAAGATGCAGGCGGTGAGGGAGACACGCAAGGCTTACAGAGAAGGGGGCACGCAGCGTTGCAGCGGAGGGCCGAGAGATAATAACATTCGACATGTCGCCAAGACGGCATTGCGAATGCCGTATGCTGGCCAACCACGGCGGAGGCCTGGGAGGCATGGTGTGTGTGGCAGTCCGAGATGACCACGCCGAGAGTTACAGGCAATGCACTTGGCTTCTTGGCCCTGCGGCTTTATTAGGCTGGCAAGGGCCATGATCACGCGCCTGGAGAGGAGAGAACTTAGAAGCTGTCTCGCAACTGGGGACTGGGGACGAAGCGCATTAGATTAGCGCCTCCGAAACAACTGCCAATGACATGGCCTTCTTCCTGGGATGCAACTCCAGCTAAGCTACGGGAGTTGCGAGGTCACGGATGCTTTTACTAGAAGCCGCCATCTCGATCGAGGCCTGGCGTGGGTGAAATGGGTGGGTAAGACCTCATGCCAAGGCGCTGTCCGCGGATGAAAGCGACAATGCTGGTACACATTTGGGTGTGTTGCCAATGCTGGGCATAGGAAGGTGTCGTTGCTTGGCCGCTGCTTGGCTGAGCAGATAATGACTGAAAGAGTGGTTCACTGCAATATGCCACGGGCTTGGCATGGCCGAGAATTCGGAGCCATGTTTCAAATGCAGTGACTCGACTTGCAATCGATAAACCTTCAGTCGGGGCATCCAGAGAACCCCCCACGGCTAATTGCTGGCATCTGTGGCGGATACCATTGGCTTTAATCTCCAATAGCACCGTGGTCTAGGTAGCAGTACCTAGAGGGTACCTGGCGTACCTCAATGGTGCCGAGGATTCTCCCAACTAGGGCAGTCTTTCGCAAGTACTGCATACCCCTGGCCCTCAATCCAAGATGCTCGTGCGTCCCCAGAACGGATTAGCAACGGCCATGGCCTGGAAATCAACCTCGATACCGCGAACCATGGCTTGATTCGGCGCAATACGCTTAAATTTACCGGCAATCTCACAGTGATGGACTGGTGATGTTGAAGACTGACAAAGAATCGACGACGGCTAATGTAGGTATACGTCTATCTCCATTGAAGCAGACGGAAGCAGACTCAGGAAAGCAGCAGAAGGGAGAGGAGTGGAAACCGGCGGCGACGAAAAGAGGTGCATTTTTCAGAGGCTCTTGGCCCCAAGGACAAGGGTCTTGGCATTCTAACCATGTGGTGATGGCGAGCTTGGCAGCTCCAGTCCTTCATTGCAACATTCTCTTGCCCAGCCTTGGCATTCTTCGTCGGACGCCAGTTCATAGCTGCCTCCCCATCCAATGTGAGAGACGTAAAAAAACCTCCAGTAGAGATTAGCTCCCTTGCCGAGCTGCTGTCCTCCCTCTCCGTTCCTCCCATTTAAACCTACCGACATGCCCCGTACGCCTCCCTCACGATTGCTTCCCTTGTCCTGAGCGATGATGCCTCTGCGTCTGCGCTGATCCCCGACCATTCCGACCGACGCTGTCTGCGACATTCTGCACGATCCAATCTCAAGCCCGCGCTGGGTTCATCGAGGCGCCCTCGACCACTCCCTGGGCCTCCCAACACGCAACGAACCGAGTTGAGATCCGTGGGAGTCTTCGGTCGCCCCAATTCTCTCGCGTGGCATATCGGAATCTATTTTCTTTCTCTTTTTGTTACTTGGATCGCCAATCGAACCGCTGCTGGTTCGTTATTGGCGATTGAACAACGATCGGCAGAAAAGATGGGGACGTGCCGCTCCACGAGATCGCAAACCACAACAATACCGGCACATCTTCTACTCTTGCGGATACTATTACTATGTTCTCTGTGCACGGCTACCAAGACGACGTCTGCCCGGACGTCCACCATCACAGCAGCCCCCATATTCCTGCCTCATTATGATCGGGAATCATGGTCAATGGTCCGCGGCAGCATCATGGGCATTGTATGTTGGAATCCCTCCCTTTTCTCGGCCTCTTCCCTACTCGAACAAACTCCTTCTGCACCAATGGATGATTGGCGCTGACCACTTGTTGCTTGTCCCACAGAATGAAACGGCTAGCGAGACGACATACACAATCTTCTGCCCGTCCTCTGAGACCGAGACCAGGCCTGCCTGTGGCCTGGCCCTCGACTTCCCATTCATCATCGTAGGCGGGCCGGACACCATCATGTTCCACGGCACTGTCACCTCCATGCTGTACGTCACCCCGGCGTCCCGTTTCCGGCGGAAACTCTGTGTGTAACTTTGGTTTCTAACAAATGTTTTGCGTTTTAGGACCGCCAATCTCGAATGCGACCTCGACGACACCACGGCTGCCACCTGCTCCGGCTATACAAGCTTCAAGCCCAACTACTACTCGAATCGATATTCCTCAGGGGTCACGGAGACATCGTGGACCTCGACTGTGGCGGGGACCGCCGTCCAATGGGGCACGCTTACAATGGCAGCCGTGCCAACCTCGAAGAAGGAACCCCTAGACGTCTCCCTCACCGTCTCGGCTGGGTTTGGGTCCTCTCCCGATTCGAACTATGCAACATCACCATCTAAGAAGGGGAGTGGCACCACGGTACGGGTGGACTTGCGACTGTCAGCACTGGCCGGGCTGGCTATCCTCCTCATCGCCGGTTATATCTGGTGAAAAAAATGCAATATGTTTCTTTGGAGCAGGATTATGTTACCCGCTTCAAATGCCATCCCTTATTTATAGACGGAGCTCGGGAGAGAGATATCGACATGTGCTCGATCGATCACTCAGCATTCGAGAGGTGTCGCCTTTCGGGGACCGGGACCATGAGCTATACTGGTCCTAGATTCGGCATCTCACAACTACTAGCTTTGATTTTTATTATTATGATTGGAAAGCATGGGTGAACAACTATACCCCCTTGGTTATGATTTATTTTATTTTGGGAAGACATTGGTCATGGCGTCTGGCTCTGCGGAGTATTGGGAGAATATGACTGGCCGTTGAGTAACTGGCATCTGTCGTTTTATCATTATTTTTATGAGCCCTCAGTGGGCGGTTGGGAATGAGTCTCTCGGTTGTGTTTCACTACAGGAGTATAGTATAACAAGGCTCGGGTCAGCAGGACCCGGTGCTGTAAGCAGAGAGGTTGAATCAGAATAACAAATCACTTGTTAAGCTCAGAATACGATGTGTCAGCCGTGTTGTCGGGTAGATTAAGTGAGATGGGCGGGGCACTGGACTTTTGTACAAGGTCGGAGAGAAAACGGCGTTGGTTGGCGATGATATAGTAGCATTGGACTGACTAAGGGTTACGTTGGACGTGGCATGTGCAACCTGTTTTGAGTTATGCCATAGACCTTCCCTTTCCATGAGGTCTGCAGTATATGCCACGGGCTGGTGACCTGATTGGCACTTCTAGAATACTAGATTGGCAGGTTTCTGCTCGTCTTGCTCGCCACCTGTGAATAGCGACCTTCCACCTTCACCTGGAGATGTCCAGAACAGGGAGCCGCGGAGAAAAGTGACGACACAATGCACATGATATTCTGCCCGTCTCCGAAAATAGAGCGGGCCGATGCCAAAATGCAGAGAATCAGAACCTTCATTTTGATTACTGGGCCCTCTCCTCCTCGCTGGCGCGTCCCTCGAGAGACAAAATGCACATCCCCAAGTACCTACCAACTTCGGTAGGTAAGCAGTGCTTTCTAGCATGCAGCCAGTTTCAGGTACATTGCCGCCGATATAACCGCCTACGTTATTCGACGCCATCGAGTGTTTAAAAATCCGTCTCCCCCTCGGCAAAGCGAAAACTACTGGACGCTACTGAGCGACTGTCTCACTGCAAATGTGACCTGACGGGCAGCGACTGGCTGGCGGGCAAGACGTGCTCTCGCTGCATTGTAGGCGCGCGGAACCAGGTGAAACGGCACCTGGCCATGCATGACGGCAGTCCAGTGCCGGGATTGGACGACAGCGGTGGGTGGCCCCCTGAAGCTGATGGGACCCCGGGTTTTTCGCTGGTTCCTGGCGATCGCAGTCCACTCGTCAAATGTGAAGCACTGAAGGATGGGACCCAGGGGCTTCCCGACCAGGCGAAACGCCAGACCACCCTTATTTCTGCATTAGCATGACCTGCTACCTACTCGTTTAGGTAGTCAAGCAACGAATGAAGGCTATGCTGGCCGACTGGGGCCGCTGCGAAGAGACGCCATGGCCGCTTCTCGAGACTTATGAGGACGGGACAGCGCCTCCGCTTTGTCTATTGCGTTTCTGATTTCTTCTGCACTCTGCACGTTTGCTTCTTGCACTTTGTTTGTTCTCTTTTTTTGTCGAATCCCTAACCCTGAGTGAATGGGTTTCACGTCCGATTAAGGCAGGCATCCTTATCCTTCGTTCCATTGTTCTCCTATTGTCCGATCCAAGGCCATTGTTCTCATAACAGGCAGCGTGCTTCCACCCTATCGTTGTCCCGTGTCTTAGATTCACGGTTTGGCTGTTCGAGATTTCTTTTTTCGTCTTGACAACACTCGGGCTGGGATCCCTCGTTTTTTGTTCCAAGGTCGCTTCCGTTCACTCATTGATTCATTTCTTCCGAGACCTCTCTCCGGAGTGCAATTTTTAACCTCGCCACGAACTAAGAATAACACTCACTTTTTTGGATTCTACGTTTATCGACTTTTTATTTTCGGAGAGACAACATGCGTTTGGCTCAGGCTCTTCCTGCCACAGTAGTGGCTTCTTCCGCCGCTCAGGGGGTGGTTGCTCCAAAGGATCTGGATATCACCAGTGCCTGTATGTGTTGCAGCCTCCTTCTATGGAACATTTGGCTAACTATATATAGATTCCGTTCGTAATGTGGCTGCCACCATTGTTCATGATGCAATGACCTACTACACAGGCAATACGTCGTCTGTACCCAATGTATGACTGATCACATCCGAGAAAATCTCAAATTTGTTGATACTGACCAAGATTACAATAACAGGAAGTTGGAGATCTCCATGACCCATACTACTGGTGGGTAGCTGGTGCCCTCTGGGGTTCCTTGTTGGACTACTACCACTACACCAAGGACCCAACATACAACGATGTTGTCATTCAGGCCCTTCTGGCACCAACAAACATTGGACCCAACTTTGACTACATGCCAGCTGAGCATGCTTTTGAGGAAGGAAATGACGATCTCTACTTTTGGGGCTCTGCTGCTTTGGCCGCCGCGGAGAGGAACTTCCCCCAACCCGACGCAGCCATCCCGTCATGGCTTGAGATTGGTGCCAACGTGTTCAACTCGCTCCAAGGCCGATGGAACATGACACACTGCGGCGGTGGGCTCAACTGGCAAATCTTTGCGGACAACCCGAACGGCATGAACTACAAGAACTCTGTTAGTAACGGAGGGTTCTTCCAGCTTGCCGCTCGTCTTGCCCGAGCCACCGGAAACGCTACTTACCTCGAATGGGCAGAGAAGGCTTGGGACTGGTCGTTTGATATAGGATTCATCGACCCCGAAAGCTACCATGTCTACGATGGGACCGATTCCGCCAACAACTGCAGCGATGTTAACAAGATCTCCTATACCTACACGAGCGGAATCTACCTCCATGGAGCGGCCGTTCTCGCCAACCACACCAACGATGCCAAGTGGGCCGAGCGAACAACCAAGCTCCTGGACGGAGCCAAGTGGTTCTTTGGACCGTACGAGAACGCCACCGATATCATGTACGAAGGCGCCTGCGAGACCGTCGAGAAGTGCAACGCCGATATGGATACCCACAAGGCCTTCCTCTCGCGCAACATGTGGCAGGCGACCACCATGCAGGCTTCTCTGCAGCCCGAGGTCGAGAGGCTCCTGGGGGCCTCGGCCAAGGCTGCTGCCCTCAGCTGCAGTGGCGGTGACAGCGGTACAATCTGTGGAAGGAAGTGGTATGTCGGTGGGTACGACGGCGCACCGGGTCTCGGACAGCAGATGACTGCCCTCGAGACGATTCAGGGGTGGCTCATTCACGAGGCCGCGCCGCCCTTGTCGGGAGATGCGATCCAGGTCGTGCGGGATACGAACTGGACGCCTGTGGATCCGTACCGACCTGACTCTGCCTAGAGGGCAGGGTTGAGTTGTGCTGGAGTCCGATCAAAATAGTCGCTGGAATAATGGGCAATAGACTCAGAAATGAGATATCTAATAGACAGGTGCTCTCATCTTGTATATAGCTTTGATCTCTATGCCTAGCATTTCTCTAAATTTTACGACTAATTAAGCTTCGAGGGTATTGATGGTTTCAACATGACACTCTAACTACCAAGAATGTAATGAATGTAATGCATGTGATCAAGCTCATTTGAGACTATCCTAGGTTTACCCCAAGTAAGAATCCCCTGAGGGAGTGAAACCGGCGGTACACATGAATGATATACTGATAATCAGCCCAACTTAATTGAGAGCACATTCACATAACACAAAACGGCAAGGTTGTGTAGCCTCAATAGATCTGTATTGGTTTCTCCCCCATAATATCTATGGGCTATAAAATATTCCTTATTAAGTAATATCTAAGGAGCGACTCGAATCTTTTCATCAAGTATCAGTCTCGGCAGCAAATGAATAAAACTCCAAGATCCTTTCCGTAACAACTTCGTTAGACTGTCAAGTCAATCATCATGGGGGGCCTGGCCAGAAGCTTCCCCCGTTGGTATCATTCTTTAGAGTGGACAAAGGAATGAATTCGAAAAACAAAAAGGGAAAAAAGGAAGAAGAAAAAAGCAACAGGGCATGGGAAATCCCAGCCCTGAAAAAGAGAAGAAAGAAGAGGACCCCCGAAAGGGTAAGAAAGGTTGATAAAAGGCCAAAAAAAGGGCAAGCAGAATCGAAGGCTGGAAAGAAAGCAAAAGAAAAAGCAAGGCAAAGTGCCACCAACGCGCGCCGCTGTATTTCCGCAGACAAGAGAAGAAAGAAATCAATCTTTTTGATAAAAGCCACCAGTCACTTATTCCCCTGGCTTGAGCGTTCCAAATCTATAGGTTGAGGATCCGCACCCTTTTCTCGTAAAAAAGGGGATACAGAGCGAGCCGTTGTTTAGATCTTGGACCGCGAGACGTATCGGGGACCGAGCCTATCCTGCTTCCGGATCATGTGAAACCGCGTGGCCCAGAAGACCATGGCGACGAGCATGACGACGGCGGCGACCCAGCTGATGATGAGGAAGGGGTTGCCCCTCACGATGGTGACGCCAATCTTCTCGGACAGGTTGTTGAACTCGTTGACGCCCTTGGTGACGCTGACGGTGACGAGGATGCTGGCGATGATGAGCACGATGGTGGCCAGCAGGGCGAGGACGAGGTTCCCGACGGCGACGAGCCTGTTCTCGGGGAGGAGGAACGCGGCGACGCAGAGGATGGTCGCGAGGCCGCTGAAGCCTATGCCCAGGACGAAGAGGACGAAGAGGCCGAGGAGGACCTTGTTGACGATGTCGAGCTTGTCCTGCATCTTCTCGTCCCAGCCCAGGTCGGCGATGTTGATGTCAAAGGGGCCGACGCTGAGCTCCTTGTCCATCAGTGCGGTCATGTTGAGGCGGACTGCTTTCTGTTAGTGGCGAAGTTTACACGAGAAAGAGAAGAGTTTAAGAGGGAGTTTTCACATACATCCTGCTTCAGAGGCGGTGCAGTTGGTGATGTTGAGCGACGCATACGAGACGGTTGAGTTTGGCGAGTAGTCGCCCTCGCAGGCGCCCATGACATGGATGGAGTACCACTCTGAGATGCCGATGCTCTCGGCAACGTCTCCGGCGACGTCGCCGACTACATCGTTGATCTTCTCTGTAATGTCCTTCTTGGCATCATTCAACTTGTCCTTGAGTGAGTCTAGGAAGCCACCATCGTCGTTTGAGCTGCTATCACTGCTGCTGGACTTGATGACATCGTAGCCTATGCGCGAGACATTGAGCTATGAAGAACGAAACCATTGGTTAGCCAATTAATCGTTTTTAACCAGTCAAGTGAGCTTGGTTGGGGAATATAATAATAGCCTGGCCCTGGGGTGGCCATGACTCGACTTGATGTTAGTGGAGGGACTCACTCTTGCAATGGCATAGTCTTCCATGAAACCTTGCTTGTGGCCAGCAAATAGAGACAACGCTGACAGGATCGTGCCCACAATGGACAGGATCAGCGGGATGAGAACGATTAGTCTGTGGAGGAGGGCCATGGTGGATAGGCACTCGGTGTTTTCTTGTTTGATGTTTCTTTTCTTTCTGAGTTGTGGTGATGAGAAGAGAAGGGTCGAAGCATGAGACTCTTCTTCTTTAGATTGGCTGTAGTAGAAAAATAAGAGTTTGTAACGGTCGAGGATAAGGCAGAGGCCCTGGGACGGGGGAGAGGGTGGGAGAGAGAGAGACGGGCACAGCAGCCTAATAAGTAACTGAATCAAGGAACGACTTTCCCTCTGTGCTCATGCTTAAGGAAGAAAGAAGAGGAAAGGGAACAAAGAGACGGAGGGAGTGGCGGTGCATTAATGTATCATTCACGAACTATATGACGGTCAATCGTATGGCTGCCCAAGCTTGCCAAGTTGCCTGCAAACAACACTATGCTAATAATACCCGCCAGCTTTCTCCCACACAATCACGCACCTCCTACGTAAAGGCCCAGAAACAAAGTAGCGCTACTTGGGCTAGGCCGGGCCCGAACAGGTACTGAACCTTGTCGGAGACACAAAACAAGATGGAGGAGGCATCCAACTGGAGTTGGCAACGGCCGGTATGATGTAAGCGCCACACATCAAAGGATACCAGAGCCCAAGAGAACCCCTGCATATGAGTAGAGGATGTGTCGTCAACGGGTGGCCCAGCGCCAATCACTAGACGCAGGGGTCGATGTTCTGGTACCGGCCACGAAGACTGGCCATGATTGGGCGAGACCATCTCCGTCCGCCAAGACCCCCCGGCCGGCGGTTGCGTCATGGCTCGTGCGAGAGCGCTTGAGAACGCAGCGGGAGCCGAAGTGCGGACCAAAGTCCCCCATCACGGATCCTGCTCGGCAGCGGGTTGCCGCCGTGAAACAAAAATAGCCAAAGTTCTGCTCTAGTCGACTATATATAATAAAGTTATTATTTTATTTCTATTCTCATTTCTTCAAGGTGGGCATGTATTACTGTCTTGATCTCCACGCAGCCAACTCCCGATTCACACGTGTGTGTGCATGTATGCATGTACTGGTAGGGTTCGTTGGAGCACAAGTGTCTGAGCTGTCACAAACAAACCACCCGAGGATGAGCAGAGGATAAGGCACCAATGGGGACAAGTGATTCATGCGCTGCTTTGTTGCCAATCACCCACTGCCGGGGTAGGTCACTGATTAAAATCCATGCAAGGCACCTGTGTATATCCGGATGTTATATCGCTGCCCTGCCAAGTGGGTGACAGGAGAAGAGGGACAGCTAATGGAAGAGTTAATTATTAATCGACCTTTTCTGTAATGAATAAGAGGCTTTTAGTAGTATGAAATTAGAAGAAAGTAACAATAAATACAGCATTATATTATTGGGACTCGATAATCTGATAATACTGGTCGCAGACTTGAGAATAAGTAACTTAATGTTTGAGTCTCAATTGCAGTGTCACCCACTTCCCTGCATCGATTCAAGACGTTTCAACACTGCCCTCATGTTCGGTGTGGGAGTCCGCGGTACAGTAATGAGAAAATACCTTCTCTACGTTGGATGCTTCGCCAATCATTCAGGCAATCAAGATGCCTACCTTGCTCAAGAACCTACCAAGAATCCAAACGCAACAGTCTGTAGGTATATTGACCACGCCGGTAGTATTTCTCGAAAATTTACACTAGAAGCCATTTGCAAAAGCTTCCGTAATTCTCGGGGGCTGGAAGCCACATATACATCGTGTTGAGGACATATATGTGCGTTGCCCCGTCGGGTGGGGTGACATCTCGGATTGTAGCCATTGGATAGCTGAGGTCCTGAATCGATCGATCCCACAGTTGTCGAAGACAATAAGACGCCCCCCTCCTCCTTGCGCTCATTGTCAATCGCGTGAGTGGTTTGCCTCATGGAGAAACAAGGAGAGAGCTGCGAACCCGCAAACGGCTGTGGAACATGCATATTATGCACACGACCGATCTGATCGCCAGGTCAAGTCAGCCAGTGGCTGAATCAGAAGCTGAAAAGTGTGGAGGTTTGCTGTCTGTCAATCCAATGATGCATCACACCAGCCCCATCTCCATCTCCAAGTTCCTGGAGTAGGTCTGCAGATCTGCGATTCACCGAGACCTTGACCGCCCCGCGACCCACGGCGGTGGTACGGTTGGTCCAAGACAAGAATAAAGAGGCGCCCTACCAAGGAATTTAATCCGCCCTGGATTGTTACCAGACACTCAATTGAGGTCCACGCGCAAAGGACAGGGCAGCCCGTTCCCTTCCCTTCGTGAGACAAAGATGGTTGCTCTGAGTCTCCAATGACCATATGATCCGGCGCCAAGTCCTGGTTTGCGGTCCCCCCCACCGATCACGCGGAGAAGATCAAAGATGACAGTATCAGGCCTAAGGCCCTGATTAGAACATATCGCGGCTATCATATGATGCCTTCGCGCCGTCAGCCCGATGGTAGATGGGGATTTGGAATTCTGACCCAATGAGAATGGCCGGGTCCGTCCATGATGGCTCTCGATGTCTCGTGGGCGGAGGGGAGCGGTGTGAGCGTGAGGGGGAATTTCTGTGCATCGCTCGTGAGGATCGGGAATTTTCCTCTGGTACACGAGCCTTGGGCGGTTTAAAGAGGGCGCGCTTGTCACCGAAATGACGTCGCTGAGGGCAGATGGGCTTGGCAAGTGAGGCCCGCTGCTGGTGCACCCCGCCGCCTGCTGAATCAGGCGCTCTGCCACTGGAGCAGGCGCTACGGGGCTGCCCCTCCGCTGGGGAACAGGCGCTGCCGAGGAAGGAAGCCCACTGGCGCACCTACCGAATGCCCACAAGGCCAGCCATTCAGCAGGCCTCCCACCCCGCTAGCAGCTGCTGATTGTGCTGGGAGAGCGCTGATAAGCCGCCTTGGCCAGGGATCCCCCGGTCAGGGTTGTTCCTCGTTCCCTTTTCGTTTGTTTGTGCATCATCTTCCGTCTCCTCCACCTCGTCCCATCCCACGGTCTTGGGCGGAAGGGTCACAAAAGGGACACCAGTGAAGAGTGGAAGACGAGCCAGCGCATCGACCGCCTCTTAACTTTCTCACCACCCTTCCGTCATTTGGCCCTCAGAATAAGGTACCTCCTCCGGGGCGCGACTGTATTCTGCAACTCGACTGTGACACAGCCTTCCTACCGAAAAGGAGCGACGACTCACGATGACATTTTCTCTACGCCACCTCTCCCCAGAAGCACGAAGACTGGCCGTGCGATAAGCCCATCAACCTCTCTCTCCATTTCGAGATCATCCCAACGTCCTTGGCTTTTGGCGACCCGGATCGATCTGTAGGAAGAAACGCAGAAGGCTATTTCCACTGGACCATACTCTAAATATAAACGACCAACGTCCCCGTTATTTTCGCTTTCAAAAAAAGAAAAAAAGAAAAAATACCGAGTTACATTCATTTCACCCACAATGTCGTCCCTCGAGGCCAAGATTGTGGTCCTCGGGTCGCAGGGTGTCGGTAAGACGTCGCTCGTCATGCGCTATTGCAAAGGCGAATTCAACCCAGCCCAAATCACATCCACCGTGGGCGCGAGCTTCCAGCCCAAGCGAGTCGTTGACACTGATACTGATACGACCGTTCGACTTCAGATTTGGGATACAGGTACGTCAACTCGTCTCTTCTCACTGACCCTTCCCCTTTCATCCCTTTCTGATTGCACCACATGACTGGATTATGATGATTCACAATGCTGACCATATATTTACGCTCTGTTGCACAGCTGGCCAGGAGCGTTTTCGTTCAATTTCTAGGCTTTATTATCGTGGCGCGAATGCCTGCATCCTTTGCTACAGCATCACAGATGCGCAATCATTTGCCGAAATGGGCGTTTGGCTCACCGAACTCCGCCGAAACCTACCCCACGACGTCGTCCTGCACGTTGTAGGCACCAAGGCCGATATAGTCACCCGCGACCCGTCAGCCCGCCAGGTCCCGTTCGAGCGCTGCATCGCCTATGTCGCTGAAAACCTTGCCCCTGGTGTTGGCAACACCCCCCCACCGACCGCCGTCGCGACTCCCATGGCCGGGTTTGCTGCCACCTCGCCCTCCGCGTCCACCGGTGCCATTCCTTCGTCCAGCGCAGACCCCCACAGCCCCAGTTCTAAGCGAAGCTCGGGCTTCTGGGGCCAGGAAGTTGGATGGGATGCATGCCATGAGGTCAGTGCTGAGAGCGGCGAGGGTGTGGAGGAGGTCTTTCGAGTCGTGACCCGGAAGCTTGTTGAACAAAACCGCAAGATTCAGCAGGCGCTGCTGGCAGCTACTACTACCCCAGCGACACCTGGCTATGATTCTGGCCTTGACGGGGGCTATTTCGAGGGTATGGCTGGCAGGGGAAGCTTTCGGGTCGGCCGAGACAGGAGGAGCTGGCTCTTCTCCCCTGGGTTTTCTCCTGCCATCACGGTTGACCAGCCTGGTGTCAGTCAGGACCAGACACAACAGCAAGGCCCCGCGAAACCGCCCAAGAAGTGTTGCTAAGATCAGCACTACATACTTGCACGCAAGCGGTGGCCGATATATTTGGCTGCCATGAGTTGCTTACACATATTCTCATATTTCTCTGTGGAGACTTTTTGAGCTTGATTCTGCTCCCTTTCCCTTTCTTCCAACTTTCCGTCTATCCAAACCGCTCTCGTCCTTTTCTTCACATCTTCTTCTTTTCTCCACCACCCTCGATTTTATTGCACCCTTTCCTTTCTCTTCGGAGATCATTCTGGCCTTAGAATGCGTATCTGCAAAGAGCCTTTACTGTTTGCATTCTGCAGGCGTTGGGGGAGTTTGAGTCTTTCCACTCTCTTCGGCAGTCATGATCATGAGGATATATCACCGCACATTTGGCATTATGAGGCGCACAGGGGCTCTCATTTTGGCGGCAGCTTCTTGTTTTGATCATGTAATACTGATTAGTGTATCATGTCATTGATGTTCCTACGTTTCTTTCGCACTTTGCTACTCTGTCATTCGTGTTAGCTAGCAGGCCGTCTTCTCGCGAAAGCTTTGTGTATTTTCTTTT